TGAACTCCCCTGATCCAGTATTGATAAATGGTCTGTTCTTTGATTCTCATTACATTTTCTATCCACCACTTCAATATCAAATTTTTGCATCAAGAGGACTATCTGATTAATCTTAATTTGGCATTTTTTTCGACATATCAAATAGCAAAATGATCGGTATAAACGGTGCATTTAGGACGTAAATTTATTAAATGCATATACTATATACTATACTATGGTTTGAACTTCTAAATGGGGTGGGCTCCATCACTAGTCTTCTACGATAGTAAATAGAAAGATCCTAAGGCTAGATCCTAGGCTCTAGGAGAAATAGCTAGACCTCATCCAAATGAGGTCAACATGGGTAGCATTTCTTTGGGCATACATTATTTAAATTAGTGAAACTGACACACATCCAAAACTTTCTGTTGGCCTTCTGGACCATGAAGATATTTGAGAACTAGGTGGGATTTTGCACCCCTCTGATGTATATCGCTTTCTACAGCTTCAGTGCCTCCTCTTTAATGGGTCCAGCCAATGTGTTCATTGAGTTCCCCGTCTTCTTCTTGATCAGTCATAATTTAGTGCTCACATTTAGCTGATGACAGGTGACGTCCACCAGTATTCCCGACATCTGCACAACAAACCATGCAAAGACATCACGATGGTCCCGAAGTGTTTGAATTAGTAGTTCATGGTGTCCTGCATCAAAATTGTCATTTGTCACAAAAGATTTATTGAGTTTTTATTTGGTGACCAGAATCTCCTTGGTGGTCTCACTGTCCTCGAGGCCCCCTCCTTCCGATTTTGTAAGTCAAGTTGCTCCTACTCCATGCTTCCAACCGCTCAGAGGTAGCAGACTCACGACTGCTTTAAGTCTCTTCCGACAATGATTATCTCCTCATCTCTTGAAAATTTCATTGCAATGTGGTAGGTAGACACCACAACTTTATAATAATTTAGCAATAGGCGGCCAAAAATGATATTGTAGGTGGGAGGAGAGTCCACTATCAGAAATTCCTCCATCTTTGTAAATTATTTCTCTCATTCACCCTTGGTGACTACCAATGATAGCACCCCTAAGCCTCCTTCCTTTTACATGAAAATCCAAAATGTGGGTCAGCCGACACTCCAATCATTTTTCCCGAAGGTTAAGTTTATCAAACACTGACTTGAACAAAATTTTCACATAGCTACCGGTGATGATAAGAATCCTTCTAACCTACAAGTTACATATTATCTTTGTTATGACTGTTGACCTCACTTTTGGTTGAGGTCAAGAAA